GCTGCCAGCTCAGCCACCTCCCTGACACCACACTGCCCCCATCCTGCAGGCCACATCTGTGCTGTGCCGGCAGCAGGGAACATTTCAGCTTAAGGCGACTAAGGCAAATCTCACTTTTTGATAAAATGCAGTAGAATGTAACATCCACACGCTGCAAACAGGCTTTGGAGTTTTATTTTCCAACAGAGATGCTGCATTTGTGACAGCATTAACCTAGCACTATTCTTTGGCACGGTAAATACAGTGAGTGAGCCTTTACATTGCAAAGGAGCATCTTTAGAAAATATGCAGGCATTATGAGAACTCTATTATGCACCCCCTAAATAAAAGGTTTTCACAGGCAGAGCTGCACATCACATAAAACACCCAGATGGATTAGAAGATCCATAAAGATTTGAAACAAAGCTGAGTGGGAAGTTCTCAGTCTACCAAAGCCCAGAGGACGACTCCTGTCACAGCTTCCACTGAACGTGAGATTTTAAGGTCTGACAGTGAGAGAGTAGCAAGGATTGGTGTTACCCAACGTAAGCAGTTTTTTTGTTTTTGTTTTTAATGTGAAAGTAAAGGATGTGAGATGTATTGAATATTTAAGGTACAGTTAGAACAGAGCTAAGTAGCACTCAAATTCTTGGAGAACCATCCCAAGAACAGCACTTGTCTGCTTTCCAGAGACACTGATCTTGCGGGAAACAACTGCACAATTTGGGCTGCAGGGAAAAAACTGCTCCCTATTCCAAACCAAGGCAGCTCACTCTGATGCGAGACAGGCCTTGAGTGGTATTACAGAGTGATCAAAACTATGTCATCATTGGAGCAGGGAGAGGCAGAACCAAGTGACACCACTGACCTCAGCCTCCACCCAGTGGGAATGACAACACCCAGTACTCTGCCCAGCCCTCCTGCAACGAGGGCACGAGCGTCAGCCACGCTGACACCAATCTTGCCTCTATAACAGCTCCAGCACCACCTGAGCTGAGCACACCCACGTTTGACATCTGATACCTAAAATTAACCTAACTTACTTCCCACCGAGTGTAAAGTGCTGTTGTTATTTGGATATCTTCTACCACGTTCACGATGCTGCCAACAGGCAGAAATGGCCCGCATGCCGCCCTCCAGCCCCCGGCCCAGCCCCGGGGCCACCTGCCTTTGTGATCCACGAAGACATAGCCATCGAAGCGGTCTCGGAACAGCACGATGTCCTCCTGGTTCCTGAAGTTGATGTAGGCGCGGGAGAAGACGTGCGGGTACAGGCTGCGGGGAGAGGCAGTGAGAGGCGGGCGGACGGGACGCGAGGCGGGGAGCGGCGGGCGGGGCCCTACCTGGAGTCGTTGGCGAAGAACTCGAAGTAGTCGTGCTCGGGCAAGGGCTGCAGGTGCTCCTCCAGCTGCTCCCGGGTGAGGCTGGGCGGCAGCCGCCGGATCACCACCTGCAGCACGGCCCGGCGTTACGGCAGCGCCGAGGGCCGCCCCCCTTTCTCTTTCTCTTCCTCTCCCCGTTCGTCTTCCACCCCCTCCCCGCCGCGGCTCCAGCTCCCCCCGCCGCCGCGCCGTGCCTCGCTCGGGCCGGGCCGCACCTTGCTCAGCGTCTCCTTCTTGTCCTTGGGCCGCTCCAGCCGCTCGAGCTCGGCGGTGCCGCCGGTCCTCCCGTCAGAGCCGCCCGCCGCCCCCGAGCCGGCTCCCGGCCCGGCAGGGGCCCCGCGCCGCTCCTTGGGCCTGGCGTTCTCCTTGTCCTCCTTCATCCCGTGCCGCGGGGCTGCGCCGCGCACCCCAATGCGCCCATTGGCCGCGCGCCTCTCGCGGCTGCGCCTTAGCGGGCCGCCAGCCGCGCCCTCGGCCGAGGCCTCTTCGCCTCCGCGCGGCCTGGAAGGCTACGACTTCCGGCGTGCCCCGCACGGCGTGAAAAACTACAACTTCCGGCGTGCCCCGCGCGGAGTGGAAAACTACAATTTCCGTCGTGCCCCGCGCGGCCAGGAGGTGTGCAGCTCCCTGCGCGGGGCGTGCTGGGTGTGCCCTCAGCCGAGCTGGAAGCGGGGACGGTGCTGGCGGTAGCGGCGCGATGTGGTACGAGATTCTGCCTGGCATGGCCATCATGGGCGTCTGCCTCTGCATCCCCGGTCTCTCCACCACCTTCATGCACCGGTGGTGCAACGGCGGCAAGGTCAGCGCTTCCGGACCGCCTCGACCCTCCGAGGCTCTCGGGCCGCGGCCTGCCTCCCGACCCCTTTCCCTTCGCCTCCCGCTTTGCGCTCTCCCCGTGCCGCTCCGTAACGCGCAGCTCCGTGTGCCCGCAGGAGAAGAGGATTGCCCGCAATCCGTACCAATGGACGCTGATGGAAAGGGACCGGAGAGTGTCGGGGGTCAACAAGTACTACGTGTCCAAGGCAGGTGCTGGGCAGGGCCGTGCGCCCTGAGCTCCGTGCTGGACACGGGGTGCTGCTGGGACAAGAGTTTTGTGATGGTTTGGGTGTGTGAGGAACGGGGGTTGAAAAGTGGCACGTTGAGCTGTGCCTTCTGCCCAGCAGACACGGTTAGGGGACAAGAGCTGTGCGTGTACTGCTGCTACGTGTTCACTCTTTCTTTTTCAGGGTCTGGAGAACATAGACTAAGGCAGCACACCTCAAAAGAAGCCACAGATCTGTATACGACAATCTAGGTCTCTAATAAATATATATGTGTATTTACCCATTGTATCTGTGTTGCTGTAAGCTTTGGATGGAATTAGTTTCCTCTGGAAAAGAGAAATTGCAAGATGTCAGATGTGGAAGTGAAATGCAGATCTTGTGTCACTTGTTGCAGATGAAAACAAATGATATTACATGGCACTCATAAGAGAGAAGCTAGAATATATTTATTTACATAATGTAGATATAACATAGTGATTTAACAGCAACTTCTCAAGATTTGGGATAAGTGGATACATTTGATTATTTACTGCACAGAGGGTAGGGTGAACACATAGGAGGCCCCCCCATTGAGTCACGAGGTTCAGAGTGGACACTCTTCCTTCTTAAACTTGATCAATGAGGGTAAAGAACCCAAGCACAGCTGGATCCACTCTTAGTCCTAGATTTGGTCGTTTATGTCTAAAGGATTATATGTGCACACTCAATCTAATATATAGTCTTAGTGAAGCTAGTAGTGCTTTCAACCAATATAAGATGTGATCTTAGCAAGGCTAATAAAGCCTAAAACGCACTATTAGTCACTTACCAAGGATGTGTATCAGCATGCTGTCTTGACATCAAGTACGAGATCTTTCACAGGCATAACCTCAGTGGGATTCCCTACTCACGGGAAGATCCTGTTGTACAGCCAGCTGCTGTGCAGGAGAGCTCAAGGTAGGCTTTTGGGCTGACTCCCTGTTTATGGGGTATGATTGACTCATAGCTGCCAGTTTGCTTTTTAGGAGCGTGCTCAATTGGTCTTCAGCTGTTGAACAAGGTGTCTGCTATCAGCTCTTTCAGGCCCCCAAGTCTGAGGCAGATTTGTGGTTGTTAATCTAGCTTAGCAAAAGCATTGTCAGTATTGTTGCACATTGTCCATTGGCCTTGTCTGTAAGGTCAGGTCTAAGGAGGCAGTTGAGGGAAGGAAGGCCATGGGTGGCAGGGAGCATACTGTTACATCACCACACTGAATGGAGTGTTTCGCTGTGAGGCACAGGTGTGAACAACCAGAAACAATCAGATATTGAACAAGCCTCAGTCACATGAACTAGAAATTTCTGAAACCACTGTGGCTGGAAAATTAAGCCTTAGCTACACAAAGGCTACAGAAATATCACAGAATCACAGAATCACCCGGGTTGGAAGGGACCCTAAGGATCATGTAGTTCCAACCCCCCTGCCTAGCAGGGCCACCAAACATACACATTTAGATCAGGTTGCCCAGGACCCCGTCCAACCTGGCCTTAAACACGTCCAAGGACGGGGCATCCACAACCTCCCTGGGCAGCCCGTTCCAGGGCCTAACCACTCTCCTAGTAAAGAACTTCCCCCTAACATCCAACCTAAATCTTCCCTCCTTCAACTTAAAACCATTTCCCCTAGTCCTGCTGTTATCAGCCCTTTTGAAGAGTTTACTCCCCTCCTGGGTGTAGGTTCCCTTCAGGTATTGATAGGCTGCAATGAGGTCACCCCGCAGCCTTCTCTTCTCCAGGCTGAACAAGCCCAACTCCCTCAGCCTGTCCTCATAGGGGAGGTGCTCCAGCCCCCTGATCATCTTAGTTGCCCTCCTCTGGACCCTTTCCAAAATCTCAATGTCTTTCTTGTACTGAGGGCTCCACACCTGGACACAGTATTCCAGATGGGGCCTCACAAGAGCCGAGTAGAGAGGGACAAATAGCACCAGGCTGGCAACAAACACCCGTTATATTGAGGATACCCAGCACTAGAAATTGTGTGTTAACTGTAGCTAAGCCTGTTTCTCCGTTCTACAGAAGTATTTTGGTAATGCAGTTTCCTTTATTTGCTTGTAGCCACTGAAAAAGTAACAAATATTGTGGGAATAGAAAATACACGGATGTAAGCAGAGTTCTGAATTTACACCAGCATAAATGACAGCAAGCTTAGACTCAAATTTGCATCTGAATTCCTGCAAGGGGCGGTTGGGATGTGACTGAAGAGTTTCTCAGTCCTCCTGAGCAATACATCCGTCATGGTTTGTGCCCCCGAGCAGGGCCAGAAGCACCTGATGCTGCTATGGGGGCACTCTGTGCTCGGGCTCTACAAGAAGGTGGGTATGGGTAAGTCAGGCCTCCCAGCTGCTCAGGCTTCCTAAATACTGCCAGCCTTGCATTTTGTCAAAGCTGCCTGTTTGTTCCTGTGGCAAACCCCCCTGTCGTGGAAGAGTGGCTGCTGGGGATTTTGCACCCTGCGTTTTATGAAAACGTCTGAAGCTTTTTCCATCAGCAGCCCTCAGGCTCTGAGGAGCTGTGTGCCAAGGAAGCTCTGTGCAGCAGGCTGTGTTTGCAGAGCTGCAGGCGGTTCCGTTCCCAAAATGTCCTTGGGCGGACTGTTGGCTCGTGGGTTGCCATGCCAACAGAACACAAAGAGCAGCGGTGGAGCTCTTCAGGCACTGCCAGCCACCACCTAACTGCGCTCCTCCAGTCCTCCCCCAGTCTGGGAAGGGCATTTCCAAGGTAACAGCTTCTCTTTCCAGAGGTCAAGACAATGGACAATGAAAATGAAAGTGCTGCCACTGAGAAGGTAGCACACACGATTGTGAAAAAGGCAATACGTACTGCGCAGGAATATTATCTAAATAATGTGCAGAAAGAAGAAGGTAAGGAGCTTGCTCTATTTGCCACGTCTTACCGTGTGTCAGAGCTTTCCCAGAAGGATTTTCACAGCATTTTATCCTTTTCAGAAGCTGAATACGCCGTCAGAAATATTCAGTGGACAACATGTGAAGACTTCTCAGTGGAGAGGGGACAGCAGCAAATCGAAGAATACATTTCCGTGAGTGACAATCCCAACCACCCAGTTAGACTGTGCCCTCTCACTGTTGAACAGTGTGAAAAACTAAATAAAAGCACCCCAGTTCCTTTTAGCACCTCCCTTTGGTTATGTCTGCTAGACAGAGCGTGCTCTGGTTGTTCAGCAGACATGGGAGCTTCACAAGAGCTGGCTTCACTGCTCAGAGTTTCTCTGGGAAGAAGATCTGCAGTACAGCAAGAAGTACCACTATAGAGTTCTCTGGAGCATCCCAACACGCAGAAAACCCATCCCACTAGCAACAGCAAGCACCTATTTTGTGATAGAGATCTCAAAAATCAAACCTGCCGTAAGTATTCAGAAGTGGCACACAGCAATCCTTCAAGGCACAGCAGCCAAACACCAGCTTTCTTTACGTTGAACGAGAGGAAGCAGTAATTTCAACAGTTCTAGCCTCTAACAACAGATCTTTGGAGTTAAAGTTTGTAACTACGCTCCAAAAGGACTTTATCTTCCAGACCATATTTAATATTTTTGCCTTGTTATATTCTGGAAAAGGCTTGAGAAAACTAATTTGTAAAGCATAATATTCTAAAGGTATTTCCTCCTGTTTACTTCCTCCTTTAAGTTTCCACTGCACTTGTTACTGAAATTCTTTAATTGATCACATTATGTACACTTCCACAGCTCAGTATTCACCTGTACGATGGTATTTTGTGACTCAAGACCAAACTGAACCTGCACAGTGGAGGCTTTTATGTCCCCTGTTGTCGTGCTGTACCGTAGCCTTTCTAGCTGGTGGTTATGAACCCCCAAGCAGCAACCCAGAAATCACTGCCACTGGTCACAGATCTTATCCTAGCACAGAATTAACATTGGAATTTCTGAGTCATTCCCTTATGAAGAGAAAATTTAGAGGCCATAAATCAAAATTTGAAATGGTGCTAATCAGTATCAGAAATGTTGCACGGAGCTGTTTTTGAAGGGATAGATTTTAGTTCTCATCTAATCAAAACATTTCTTTTTTTGGTCCTGTAGCTCAGTATGTGAACTTCACCCTGTCTCTCCTCTCTTGCAGACCCTGCCTGTGGAGGTATTCTTCTTTCTGGAGTCCAGCAGGCTGATTCACAGGTATGCACCATTACTTTTCTATCACTGCCATGACTGGGGGGTTCTAGCAAGCTGTTCCTTGCCAAAAAACAAGCAAGAAGCCTGGTGTAAATGAGAAGTTCACACTAATATCAGAGAGGCAGATGTCAACATTTTGTTAAGTAAAACCAAAAGACCCTGCCTTCACTCTACCACACGTGTGAGCAGCCACACCTGCATTCTACATAATGAGTTTTTAATAGCTTTGTGCAGTTCCAGCAAGCATTAATTTTTGGAGCACATAGGCATTTTTCTTGCTATTTGCCCTTTTTACTCTCTCCTGCAGACCGGAGCACTGTCGATTTAGAGAAAAGTGGTTGAAGGACATCATTGAAAATAAAATCATACTCAGAGAAAGGCTTAAATTACCATGAACAGCTCCAACTCTGTTGGTATTTTGAGGAGAATCAATGCAATGAAGGAAAAAAGGTTATTTCTTCTTAACTTGTGGATTAACTTGTAGGTGTGGAAGCAGAATTAAATCAATGTTAAACTATGGGCTGAGCTGGCTGCTGTTTTACACGACAGTCCTTTGCAAATATGGGCGAGTGCAACAGGTCAGACAGAACCAGGCTCCAGAGTGCAGACAGGAAGAAGCAGCTGGGCTGGGTTTGCCATTTGAGTGCCAGACCTGCAGAACTCTAGGGCAAAAAGAAGTTACAGGACTTATCAGGGCAAAGAAGCGGTTGGATGGTCGCAGCCAGAAGGTTGCGATCAATGGCTTTATGTTCAGGTGGAGGCTCACGATGAATGGCGTCCTCCAGGGGTCCATCTTGGGACCAGTGCTCTTCAACATCTTTATCTATGACATGGATGATGACATTAGCTGATGAGAGAGTGGTGCAGGTGACACGACAGAAGGAAGAGATGCCATCTAGAAAAACCTGGACAGGCTTGAAAAGTGGGCCCATGAGAAGTTCATAAAGTTCAACAAGGCCAAGAATGAGGTGTTGCAATTCCATCAGGGCAATCCCAGATATGTACATGGTCTAGGAGAACACACTGAGAGGGTGGAGAAAGACTTGGGGATTCTGGTGGACAAAAAAATAGCTGGACATGAGCCATCAGCATGGTCTTGCAGCCTGCAAGGCCAACAGTGTAAACAGTGTACTGGGCTGCATCAACAGAGGGGTGGCAACAAGATGAGGAACAGGATTGTTGTCCTCTGCTCTGCCCCCACGAGGCCCCACCTGGAGTACTGCCCAGGGCCCCAGCACAAGAAGGATGCAAAGCTGTTATACTGGGTCCAGAGGAGGCCATGAAGATGCTCATAGGGCTGGAGCACCTCTCCTCTAAAGAAAGGCTGAGGGAGCGGGGTTTGTTTAGCCTGGAGAAGAAAGAGCTTCACGGAGACCTCATTGTGGCCTTTCAGTACCTGAAGGGGCCTATCGAAAATGTGAGGACAGACTCTTTGTCAAGGAATCTTCCCGGAGGTCGTGGCTTTGAATTCAGAGAAGAGAGATTAAGTTAGATACTTGGAGGAAATTCTTTGCTCAGAGAGTGCTGAGGCCCCGTCCCTGCTGCCCGGAGCTGTGGGCGCTCATCCCTGGAGGTGCCCAAGGTCGGGCTGGATGGGCCTTGGGCAGCCTGAGCTGGGGGGCGTCGGGACTTCAAGGTCTCTTCCAACCCAAGCCATTCTGCAATTCTATTATTTTCATTACACAAACATTCAAGTCATCTCCGCTGCCAAAACTACAACACAGACGCAAGAAGAAAAAAAATACCCTCAAGAATACATTCTGTTTTTAAATACATTTCAGAAAAAATACCTCCCTTCTTTTTGGAAATACACAGTTGAATCAAAGGTAGCCACCATCAGCAGCCTCCTGAGTACAGTTTTAAAAGAGCCATGCCATGCTATTGAAACAGGCCAAATGAAAATAACACAGAAGTTAAAATAAGGCTTTAATCTAGAACATTTCCATAGACAAAATAAAATAAAATAAATTGAAAGATACTTCCTTGTTACCACCTGTCTACAACCAGGTTCCAACCACTGCACCCCACTGCTCCAGTACCTATGTATAACATAGTAGAAATAGAAGCAAGCAACTTACTTGTTTACCACAGGCTTTGGTAGAATCCAGACCAGACCTCACTACTACTGTTACTGTCATCTTACACCCCAGTTGCAGTCTGCTTCCTTTAAAGTAACTGAAGGTAATCTATATTAAATTACAAACCTATTTCTATTTACAAGTGTACTTGGAATCACAAAACAAACTCAACGTTCTTTTGATTAAAAAAAAAAAAAAAAAAACTATCTAAAACTTATGAAAAATACATAAACAGGAATTTAGGGATTCCTTAATTTTCATAACCATCAGTAGCAGCTTGCTTGTGATGGCCAATCTACTCTCATTAATGAGAAAAAGTGCAAAACTGCACTTATCAGCATCAGCAGCATGTCCCACAGCTCTCCCATGGAATCCACCTGCTTGTCCAATTCCAAGTGAGTGCAGAACTTCACTGCCTCCAACCTTCCTTGCCTGTTCCTTCCCTGTAATCTTTCAATTTACAGGTATTCCTTGCAGGTGGTGAGCAAATCATCCAAGAAAATCTGATGGAAGTAATCCTGTTTTCTTGATACAAATCACCAGTGCCTGGGGCTGGTCCTGTTGGGTGAAAGGCACTGCAGCACTTGCAGCTTTTTTCAAATCACAGCAGGAACAGGTCAGCTGCTGCTTGACAGCATCTATGGCATACAGTTCAAATGGGGAATTATTTTTCTTCTTTGCCCTTAGTCTTTCTGTAGACCATCTCTCGAAAGCTTGCAAGGATCTTATTCTCTCTTTTTCTCCTCTCTTCCTGGTTGAAGGATGCCAGAGCTCTCTTTTCATCTGCACTGTAAATTTGGTTCTCCTTACGCAGACGCACAGCTTCCATTCGACGATGTCTGTGGGGGAAAATATTGCATACATAAGCACAGGCAGAAGGATGTAATGCCCCATCACAGCCTCCATCCATTAACTAACCTGAAGGTTTTGAGGGCTAATAAACAAAGACACCTAAACCAGAGAACCCAAACTGCACAGAGACCTCCAAGGAATGAGCATGGCTGAGCTGATTTCTGAGGGTGTCTGCTCTGAGGCAGTGAGCAGCAAGTCCTTCATGATCCCAGGGTGTCAGGGTGCCAGCTTGCCAAAATACAAATGAACCTCCTTTTGTGCTGGTAGAAAAAGAAGGTATGGCAAACCTCCCACACTGATTTGTCTCACACCGAAGAGGCAGCGCACAACCTCTGCTGTCCAAACACACAACCCTTAAGCCATCAGAAACAAGCATCTAATTTGAAATAAAGAGAAGCACGCTATCTGGAAATAATTGTTATTCTTCAGGAACAAGTGACCTTAAGAAGCTATGCATCTGTATGTAGCAGTAGAGTTCAGCATACGTACCTGGAAGCACGCACAGAGCACGCGCTCTTCAGAGCTTTCAGCTAGAGCCTGGAAACAGCTTTTCAGCAGGCCAACAAAGGAAGCAGCTTTGGAAAATGTTACTGAAACATCAGCATCACCAAAAACATACCTGCTGCCACTCATTACGTAACCGGAGCTCTCAAACGAAGCAATTTCTTCACTGGTCAAACCAATCTCCCCTCTCCGAGGTATGCGTTTCCCTGCTTTTACGTACTCTGCCATTGCTGCACCTTCACCTGGCAACAGGGCATGCCCATAGCTGAAGGAATAAGCAAAGAGACAAACAGCAGGGATTTTAACCAGTCTCAACTGGAGGGATTCTGAGCTAAACATCCAGCTTCCCTAATCATTACTGGCTCCAGCAACATTTTAAGGATTTTCCCAATCTTTCCCAAGTCTGTTCTCATTTCATCCTTAAGGCTAATCTTAGCAAGAACATTTTAAGTAACCAGTTTAATAAGTTCTGGTTAAATAGTAATAAAGGCTGCACAAAGTCACAAGACTGCAGAGCATTAGAGTAAAGGCACTTTACTGAAGTAAAGATGAATTAGTTTTCTACGAATCTAGGCTAAAATACACCCAGGAGGGGAGTAAACTCTTCAAAAGGGCTGATAACAGCAGGACTAGGGGAAATGGTTTTAAGTTGAAGGAGGGAAGATTTAGGTTGGATGTTAGGGGGAAGTTCTTTACTAGGAGAGTGGTTAGGCCCTGGAACGGGCTGCCCAGGGAGGTTGTGGATGCCCCGTCCTTGGACGTGTTCAAGGCCAGGTTGGACGGGGTCCTGGGCAACCTGATCTGAATGTGTATGTTTGGTGGCCCTGCTAGGCAGGGGGGTTGGAACTACATGATCCTTGGGGTCCCTTCCAACCCGGGTGATTCTGTGATTCTGTGAAAATACATAAAACAGACTTTTCTACTCGAACTCAGGTCGGAGGAAAGACAAGCACCGTTACCGCTTCTGCCTTAGCTTCTGTTACTGCACCCCTCTCCGACATAAGTCATTCTGCAGTCTTTTTGAGCAGAAATCTTCACTCTAGATCTACTTGATTTGATCGAGGTACCATTTAAGTACTCACTTCAAAGGCCGGTCATCTTGAGACGCGTGTGTTTTGGGAGCTTCTGGTCCAATCAAGCTATCGGCTTCTGTATTTTCTGCAATGATCAAACAGCAAAGCAGATGAACACTGTGCCTGTTCTTTGTTATCAGAACAGTCAACAGCTCAGCAAACACTGAACAACAACAAAAAAAAAAAAGCATGAAAAGAACACCAACAAGTTTCAAGACAAATTTACGGGACCTACTTGATCTCTCAATCCAGAGATCTTCCCCTTGAAGCGTTTCATCATCAGAATCTTCACTGCTTGAATCACTGGATTCCTTCCGGCTCTTTTTATTTTTCTTTTTTTTATACTTCTTCCTGCAATAAAGTCAAAGTTATCCACCAAAATTTAAGATGAAAGAACATGCTGGGACTCACACTGCAGTTATGAGTTTCTCAAGGTACCTTCCACCAAGGACAGTCTGCATTTATATTGTCTGATTGAAAACAACTGATAGTTAAGGACAACCTATCCACTGTTATGCCTTTCATACAACACTAGAAAGTGCCTCCCTGTGTTTCAAGGATCTCTCTGTGCTCTATGATTCTGTACATTTGAAGCCAGTCAGATTATGTTTGTCCAACAGCATTTATGGCTCTCATTACAGGAGTGCTCAGCCTCCTTCAGTTCCTGCTAAGACAGTGCTTAAAAGCAGATGCAATTACATTTAACAGCCTGGAAACTTACTTCCTGTGCTTCCTTTTCTTCTTTTTGCTTTTCTTTTTATCTTCGTCTGAAAACAAACAAACAAACAAAAGGAAGATCAAAAAAAGTACCCTGTGAATAAATAACTGCTTCTGCCACAACGCCTCAGCACACATCTCAGGCATGATTTCTTTTTTCTTACCACTGGAGCTCTGGTCGGACTCGGACTCGCTGTCACTGTCCTCAGAATGTTTTCTGTGTTTTCGTTTGGAAGCCTTTCGCTTTTTCTTCTTTCTTTTCTTCTTCTTTTTCCTTTTTTCCTCTGGCATGT